TACTGTATAGTGAATAGCCGTATAATATGTAATGTATAACATGTAGCTATTACATATATAATCTAGGTAACTATTTAACTATATATTATATAGCCTACAGGACTTAAAACCGATTTTGTATACCGGTTAAAATCTTTAAAAATATACAAATTACCTATAGGTAAAAATTGTATGACGTAATATTAATTGAAATATTTACAATAACAGTTTATCCTTCGTAAAAATCAGAAAATAGTAGATTGCTGCACACTATTCAAACCAGTCACTATAATATTGGAGGACCAGTAGTACTACTATCTACTACTGTCTACTGTCTACTATTCGTCTATACCAGGGATGGCGAACCTTTTTGTACCAGCATGTCAAATAAAAATGTTGGTTGGATTTTGTTTTCCTTGCGTGTCAACTAGTTTGATAACCCTTCTTTAAACTTAAAAATTCCTACATCTATGGTTTGAATGATAAAAACACAAGTCAAATATTATATTATCAAACAATTTAAATATAACCTTTGAATTACTATAAAAATAACACTCACCAATAATGAAAACTGCACAAATTTGCACAAACACATGAAACATCGACTCGACGAATGAGTAATGACTAACGCTAGCCGTGGGCTAGCTACACGTTTATCCGTTATATAAAATATATAAACCTAATAAAGTTCTTATAGAAAAGTAGGTAATAAAATTAATAGTTGTTGAGCAGTGTAGATATTCAATCCAATGTGTTTAGGTATAATACCATAAACTTAATATCTCATTTTTGTAATCTCAATATATTTTGGTCTACGTCCTACGACCAGTGGTTTTTCCAGTAACTTTTTACACAGTTGAGTGTGTCACTAAAATAGTGTGCGCGTGTCACTCCATGACACGCGTGTCATAGGTTCACCATCTCTGGTCTATACAAATGATCATAGCCGCTTTTTGGAATTTCAGACTTCGAGTCGATGGTCAATAAATATACATCTGTGCGGCATGTGTGTGTTTGTTGAAAGGAATGAAAAAAAATGAATGGAAAAAGGTCACATTGTGCACTATATATAGGCTGCAAGCACCTATATATTATTATGCACTCCTCAAGGTACCCCGTCGAAACGAAAAGAGTTCAGTTACTGCACCTTACACGATATAATATAAAATATACAGTCATATAACTTATAAGATTTAGTATACCTACCTAAATATCTATATGCCCAACCCACATAGTATAATACACAACCCTCACTCGTCTTATGACATTTTACGACTATAAAGCGTGTGTATTATATTGTTAAATCCAGTCGTAAAACCCGTTCGTCGTCGTATTATACGTATTGGTAGCCTACCTAAATTATTGTTATTACTGTAACATAACTATACAGTCGACAGACCGACCGCTATGATAATATCGCAACTAAAACATCCTCCCCATGACTATTCCATAGTTATGCAGGAACTCAATCTCATCTCACTGGCAGACAGGTGATTTAACTCTAACCTAGAGTTTTTGAAAAAACTGGTGGATATCGTATTGATGTTCCCTCACTTCTTTCGTTGGTCAATTTCAAAGTTAATTCTCGCACTACCTACTGGACACCATGTTCCATTCATAGTTCCTGCGCACACTACCACTACCAATTATGGCAAAAATAGTCCCTTAGACTGCATGATGCGGTTGGCCAATGAGAGCACAATTTATCAAAACTGATAAAATTAAAAGTACTACTATATACATACTATTATTATTATTATTAAATATATAATTACCTAACAATAACCATATTCCTCTAAAAAACCATTTTTTTTTAAATTTTTAAAAATATAAGATATTTTATAGCCACATAGGTAGTTAGTTAATTACATATTGTCAGGTCTTTCTGTACCTAACACTATTTGCTCATGTATAATATAACATATAATTAAAGACCGAATTTATATTCTCTTAAAATACCTAAAATATAATGCTAATATTCTCTAAAAATCCTTAAAATATTCTCATTATATTCTCTTAAAAATTTAAAAAAATATGCTAAAATAATCAATAAACATCATTATATGCTTCAATACGAGTTTTAAAATTTTTTTTTTCAACAAATTTCAATAGTGAGGTATTAATTAGGTATTGAAAGTTGAGTATTCTAATGTATTACTATTACACTTTAGTAAATTGGAAATGATAAAAAAAAAAAATTGTAAATGTTCAACCAATGTTTTCTCACAGTTTAAGAAATATTCCAAAATATTCACAACCCATGAAATATTCTCAAATAATATCCAAAAAAACTTTTTTCTACTCAATCAGAATTGATCAAATCGTCCACATTTTTTACTCTCATAAGACTGCATAGACCCAGTTATAATATGTAAAAACATATAAATCCGGTCTTTACATATAATATATTATATATTATATCATTAATCTTTATCACAAATTGAAGATAAATTTAAACACTAAAAATCATAGAGATACAATAGAATTCTACTATACGACTATGCTAAAAATTAACAATTACACATTTAGATTTATCAATTATCAGACTTGTGTTTGTAAGATGGAGACAAAAAATTACCATGTAACCTCTTAAGGTGGACGTTGCAAAAAACACAATTTTCACCACATAAATAAAGAGAACTTTGGCTGTCCAATATAGTTTTTATTTTTTTGGCTATAGGAACTTTAAGAAACGTTATTGAAGTTTGAAAACACAAATAATAATGGATTTTGAAACAATAAGAACTCTTTTCGTATAAGTAATATCAAAAAAATAAAAATGATATTGCACAGCCAAAGTTCTCTTTTGTATGTGGTGAAAATTTCATTTCTTAGTTATGACTGTAGCTTTCTCAGTTCTTTCCCGAGCCAAAATGTTTATGCATTACGTGTGTAAGAGTGTAAGACTGAGGTTGAGGTCGGAGACAACATGTGGGTGCGACGTCCTCTTAACTAAATAGTAAATAGTATATTATAATAAATAACTGTTTTAACTGAAAACTGAAGAAAAAACAATATCTGTTATTTTAAACATTCATAAATTAATGACAATAAAAAAAAAATGAAATCCAATAAAACTCTTCACTAGACTTACCTACAAAATATGAACATGAACAAGTTACAGAATGATTACCTACTGGCCTACTGTAATAAAGAAACTGTTAAGAACTTTTTGGAAAGTCCCTTAAAGTTTTGGGTTATATTAAGCATAATACTAAAACAAGTTATGTTCATATTTTTAACAAAGTCTATTAGAGCAATATAAAAAATATATTGTGTATAGTGAGTACTTAGTACCATAAACTAAGGTATTCATAATGGATTATTAATCAACAATAATACATATTATAAAATATATGGAATTGTATTTATATTGATAAATATTATTGGTCAATATTATAAAAAAAAAAACAAAATTAATTATTATTAAGTACACAGTTTTTAAAAAAAACTATATTACATAAAATAAACAAATCAAATAAATATTATTAATTTCTATAAAAATGTAATTGTTTATATAAATCAAAACCAAACATACAATAATTTAAAAATTTAAAATATAAAGAATGAATAAGAATACTAAAAATATTTAGTTTAGGTAGGTATTTAAGTATCTAAAAGTTACTAGTTATTTTCTTAATGGTATTTAAAAATATATTTACAATTTAACCGTATGGTTTAACAATAATGAGTAGATACTCACGGTGGAGGAATAAACTTAATGGAAAGCACAAAGTTGTTATTTAACAGTTAAATTGAAACAGTGCATGACATATCGCTCACTATTTCAACAGTCCAAAAATGGTAAATTAGGTATTGTAAATGTAGAAATACACATATTTATGAGTGTGCATGAATTTAAAACATAATTAATATAAAAGATAAATATTACAGATACCAGAAAATTAAGGCAAGATTCATTACAATACAATAGTAAGAGAATTAATATATATATAATATGTTAAATCAAAGGTTAAATTCATACAAAAATAAAATGTTAACATATTTTTCCTTAACAATATTCCCAACTAAGACATAAATAAAAACTATAAAATACCAGTTTGTAAGTTTGTAAAGTAAATACTATTGGATGGACATAATGTCAGGGCACTTTAATTAATACTATTGTTCATCGGTTTTCAAGCAATAATACAAATGTATTGAAACAATAATATACTAAATACAAGATATAATTTTTTATTAAATAAATTCAATAAAAACTTTGAGCAATGCATGAACAGCTTTAATAATGGGTTTGTTCGAAGTTTAACTATTTAAGGAATGCATTCAGTAACAGTTATTATTGAAATTGCAAATTTAATTTGCTAATAAAACTAACAATTAAAAATTATGGTTTTCTGAAATTTAAATTGACTTCTATCGAGAAAAAAAAAATTAGTTTAAAAAACAATAATACTTTTAACATATGTTATGTTAATGTTATATAAACTTAAAAAGGAAAATATGGCAATTTCTTGGAAATAGAGAACAATATTCACAGAGTTGTCATTATCAATTATTATTAAATGCTGTTATTACTGGAATGAATAAAATAATCAGTGGGTGTTTGCTTAAAAATTACGGTATGATACATTTTAGGCAGTAATATTCATTTATATTTGGATTACACAATATTGAGCTTCATTTGCTTAAAATCTAAACACTATGGAACTGAAAAACAATTTGCCTATAATAGATGTATAAATACTTATAAATTATTTCATTACTCAAATAATATGTGTATATTTATTTATAAACGCATATTACAATGTTCAATGATTGGATAAGATAATTAAGACTATATCATTAAAACTAAGGTAGTAAAAAATAAAAAGAATATTGTTATGATAAATGTGGTACGCACACATATTATTGGTAACAAGTTTGACAGTCTAAGTTACATTACAACTGTTCAAACAAGATTGTACCCGATTCATACAACTTGGTCAAATAATAATTAGACAAATAATAGTAATAAATAATAATATGATTTTATACATATTATTATGGCACTATTCGTTTCAGAATAATCCTTTTTTCTTGATTTTTTTCTCTTTTCCATCAGTAGTTCTGAAACACAACAAGTTTACTATATTATATCAATCTGATTTATTAACTAATAATTTATAATAATGTATGACGTAAGAAATATGACATACTCTCTCTCTAATGATCGCCTTCTCAGTTCGTCAAGACTTATACCACTGCTAGATTCCCAGTCTCTGATTTCTAATTCAAGTTGTCGACGTCTTTCATCCAATTCACTAGCTTCAGATTCTAATCTCTTCAACATTTGTTCGTTCTTTTGTTGCAACTGTTGAAAAAAAATGTTTATATTTTTTGAACTACATCATAGTAAAAACCAAACACTAACAGCAATTTCTGAATCTTTGAGTTTCTGTTTTTTTTCTTTGACTTTCATCTCAAACACTTGTTCCATTTCAGTTTCCATTTTCTTAAGTTTGGCATCATGATCGCGTTTCTCGTCTTCCATTTGGGCTAACGGATTCCTATCATTAAAAACGACAAAAAGAAATTATGTACATTCAAATACAACAGGTTTATAATGTTATACCAATTACAGTGTTTCTGTATAATCTTAATTTGTTGTAAATTTATTGGACTAATTTTTGGATGAGGGAAAAGTTATTGTTTCTTTCATACTATTAACTGAAACTTACCAAACAGCAACGAAGGAATTGTTGATTGCTCCTGGGGCGCACGAGCTGGACCAATGTGTAAGAAAATAATAATAATTTTTTTTTTAATTGATATTATAAACATAATCAGTATAATGGTTTTAAAAAAGCTTGTGTTCACATAAAAAAGCGTTCAATGCTATGAACTACAAAATACTAATCTAATTACTTTTCTTATTAAACAAGAATTATGATTAAGAAGTTCTAACAATTTCCAACTTATACTCATAAATTAATATTTGAAATTGCTATTCACTAATAACATTATATTTTATACATTTTCTTTTTTCTCATGATACATATTATTTTTAGTAATTTTTAGTCATCTCTAGGAATAGGCGATAAAAATGCATGTTTAACTAACATCCTAGTTTAACTACTAACAAATCAATCGATCGAATAAACAAGTAATATTTGTATTAAAGAATAGGTATTAGACGATCAAAAAATTATATAAAAAAAATGCAATAATTTATTAATGAATCAAATTATTTGATTATTTTTAAGCGATTATTGTATAATAAATAAAATAAAATAAAATTTACATTTCCCATTAAAATCTATTTTACTAAGATATCTCTGTAATATGATATATCCCTATACTATATTTAACTTATGTTTCATTTTAATTTAATTTTATAAAATAAATTAAAAATATCTGTTATACTTCATAATACTAAAAACATATATATAATTGATAGAAAAAAAAAATATTGAATGAACAACTAATAAACAATATTTTTAACATTCATAAATGTTTACATCAGTGTATCAAATAAAAACAGTGACGCATATTTATTTATCCTGTTAATAACATAATAAATAATATGTTTTTTTTATCATTTTTATCAACCTTTGTCAGCAAGAGATCCAAAAAAAAAACTAAATTTAATATTCTGATGACTATCTTCAACTACATTTTGAAAACAATAATACACCTAACCTACTACACAAGCAAAATATTATTTTTAAAATAAAATAAATATTTTAGAAACAACTAACCTACACATACCTATATTGGTTAGGGTTTTTATTTAGCACTTCAGTATACTGAAATTCTACATTTTAATTAATTTACAGCATATTTATTATTTAGACTTGAAACAAGAAAAAGTTATTTTTTATGGTCAAAAAGCCCATGCAAAACAAATAAAATAGCAAACAAAACAAATATTTTAAATGGTTATAATGAAATTAAATATATTTATGCAACTATTGTAATATTTTCGAGGGTCTCATCCAAAAATCAGCCAAATAAATGATAAACAGATATTATTTGGATATATAGAAGATGGGATATTCTATAAATATGAAACGGGGCGCAAACCACAACCTTGAAAGGCTATCAAACTTGATTACTCATATACCATAATATATTAACTCACTTGGTCATTCCTTTAGGACCATCGGCTGAGAAGCAAGCCAATTTTCTAAATCTGAAGTTTTCGTAATGCACATTACTAGTCACTTCTTTTAGATCTTGTAAATGTGTTCTCAATAACATATTTCTTAAGGCAACAAAATCACAATGATCAAGATTTTCCACTAGAAAATATAAATACAAACAAAAATTATTCATTACCTATCATACTTGAAGTGAACTTGAGTGTGTTTACCTTCAACTAAACCCCAAGGATACTTTCGACCACGTACTTTCTTTCCATCCACTTCATGAACTTCGGTTGAACCAACTACTGCAAATGGTACACGTGCCTTAAGCTTTTTTAAATTTTCCCGATCTTCATCTTTGTCTGAATCAGGGAAGTCGTAAATTTTGATTTTATGCTGAGCAATTTCTTTTAAAATCTAATAATAATAAAAATAGTTTATATAGAATATTTAACATAGTTTATCATATAAATAAGCATGTATAAAAAAAATGTAAACCTGTTTTTTGTACTCTGTTACTTCATCTGGAGTCATTGTATCTGCTTTGGAAATAATGGGAATTATATTCACTTTGTCATGAAGTCTCTGCATAAACTCTACATCTAATGGAGTCATTCCATGACTATTTGACTCCAGAAAATATAAGCAACAATGTACACGGCTATCATGTTGTACTTTTCTATTAACTCTGGATTCAGCATTTAAGTATTCTTCATACCTAGCAATATTAAAAAGACAATTAAAATATACATTATAATTGAATGACATGTGGGGTTATTTACCTGGACTCAATATACTCAAGCACCGGTTGCCAACAATCTGAATTGTCAACAGCATCACCAAACCCTGGTGTATCAACTACCGTAAGTGAAAGATTAACACCTTTTTCTTTTAACATACATCTGTTAGTTTCAACTCGTACTGTTTTACCAACACGTAAAGAGGGACCCGGATGTTCTTTGCCATATATGTCAGCTAAGAACATTGTGTTAATTAGGGTGGATTTTCCAAGACCCGATCTACCTATAACAATGTTTATATTAAAATCTAACCTAAAAAAAACCTGACACCTGTTGACACATAAAATACTAAATGGTCAGTAGTAGTTTATATCAAAAATATAAAACAAAAATTAAATCGGTGCAAAATTCTAGTAAACTTACCAACAACCATGAGAGTAAATTCAAAGCCTTTCTTTACAGCTTTGCGATATACTTGATTGGGTAAATTGGCAAATCCAACATATCCATCTAATTTTTTCACTTTCCTATCATTAACCTTTCCAGTTCCTGATTGATCTGTTTTTAAAAGTTTTTCTTTATTTTCTGTAGGCTCCATCGATGACTCGACTATTCATTTAAAATCGAAACATAATTTAAATGAAATAAATAACAAAAATCATAAGACTTACGTTTAACAACGGGTACTCGTGGTAAATTCATTGGAGCAGTTGATGGTAAATTTGTACTTTGATTGGTTTTTATACTGGTAACAGAGTTCTGATGTGGCACCGGAGAAGTTGAATTGGCATTTGATTGAACAGTAGACGGAGTTCCACTGTTTGCCGATACGTCATTCTTGAAGAATAACTCTCGTTTGCTTTGTAACTAAACAATTAATAGTAAAGATTAAACATATTAAAAAAAACAACAAAAAAATTAACTCTGAACATCGTTTTGAATAAAATTAATCAAATGCTTAATATCCAATATCTTAAAATATTTTATATACTCCAACACTAAATTATACCAAATTGTTCATGTTGAAGTAATAATTAAATATTTGTATAATTAAAAGTATTTAAAAATCAATGATGATAATTATTGGTAATTAATAATCTCATAACATTAAAGTAGCTAAATATTTATCCACTATGGAAAAAATAATTTGATGTATATAATCTGTATAAATGCTAGAAAAATTATGTGTACACTTATAAATTTAATAATTATTATAAGTGTCAAAAATATGTCATTATATGCACGAAAAGAGGTATTCAAATAAAGAATCCTATATAATATTATTACTGGACATGAAACTATGATTGCGTACAAACCCCAATTGTAACTTGAGCGCAACAAATACGATAAAAAGGCTCAAGGGTGGTTGATTAAGAGTTATGAATAGCTAATCCACATAATAAGTATACTCTTGAGAAGGATATGGATAATAAATAGCCAATATGTATGTTAATCATAAATTAAGATTAAATATTTGTAATGTATAAGTATAATAGTAACCTAAACACCGCATCAGCAATATGGTATGAAAATAATCGCAACACGTCATACTAAATAGGTACCTATAGTAGGTAGTCGTTTGGTTGTATTACTGTTAATTTTAAAATATATAATAAATTATAATAATAATTTATAATTTATAAAGTAGAGAGGTGACGATTATTTATACAATATTACAAATTACAATGACTGACAGAATCTATATTCTATAGATATGATTCACCACAGTACCATACACACATTGCTTTCTGTATACTATTATGCACATTAAATTTTATCTCTGTTTATTACTCAAACTTGACTTATTTTCACGCACACGCACGCACGCACTCAAGTACAATACGAGTATAAATTAAATATACTAGAAATAAACATGTGTAATATAATATTATGATAAACAATAATGAGTTTAAAAATATTAACAACTCTAATAAAAATATATCACAACTATGAACTACCTAATTAAATGATTAAACATATTTTGCTACCAATACAATGGTCCAAGAGTGACGCAAGTCAAATGATCATAATATGCCATGTACGATGTACGCGTGGTATGCCATGTAATTAATTTTATAACCTAGTTTAATTAATCTTCTATTTAGACATTAAGTCATAAAACTAATAATTAATTACAATTTATCACTATATATTTCAAAATTGGACACAATGTTATATTTTTATAAATCTAGTACCTACAAAATATAACAAACTATTTCATGTACGATAATATTTTGAATACATTTTGCACTCGTGCAGTTAACAAAACTATTTGAAAAACCCTGATGAAAATATAATCCCCGAAAATATTCCACGGTTGTGCCGAAATCAATTCAAGCGGGTTTACACAAAATTTTTACTCAATCACGTTTCAGAAAAATCACAATGGCATTATAAGATTCTCAAACATAATAAAATAGCTTATCCATTTATCACTGCCACACTCATAATGTAATTTATTATATTTTCGACTCATGATTTGAATTACGTTTTATAGGCGCAACATTATCAAACATTAAATGCATGATGTATAAATTGTATACTAAAATAGTTTTATATACCTATAATATTAAATGTATTTTGAGGTAAAGAATAACCTTTTCATATACACCAATTACATTAAACTGGCTTACATTTTTTAGATCACTATAGAATAGTATAGAATAAATTAAATTAAAAATTAATAGTATTATTGAAGACCTATAAATTACAATCATACGATCAATTGTCAATAAACGTTATTTCATTAAAACCAACCTTTATGAAACTTAAAATGTAACAAAGTAAGTTGTAATTAATAATTTTATCATAAAATTATAAATTTAACTACATTGACTTCCAGCTAATAACATTGAAATACCAACAAATATTTAAGAGAGAAATAGAGAATAACAGTTAACATTAATTAATCAATAATATTTGTCTGCGGCTATAAAAACAAAATTATTATTTCTTGATTTAAAATTTCAATTCTTTGGTGTGCCTAAGCGCTATTAAAAAGCATTCAAACTATATTTTTTTATGAATATAGGTACACGGGTAAATAAAATAAGATAACGTCATTAAAATGACTAAACATTGCAAATATTATTATTTAAAACATTAATTCGGGAAAATTATGATCTCAATCATGTATGTTCGACGACCACATGATAAAATAAATATTATACTACAATAGTTCTATTGACAAATTTAATTTTCTCACAACTTCATGTCATTTAAAAATAATCTTTATTTTAATGTACAAAGGCGTGGTTAATATTATAATTAGAGCGCGGTGACGTAATTTCTATTGAGAAGCTAGTAACACAGAAACAGAACACATGTGAAGAAACCTTAATAAGGGTTAAAACAAGAAGTCTGGGTGTAACCGAGGTAACATTCCCCAAAAAAAAAAAACTATTACGATACTTCGATTATTACATACCACAAATATTATAATAACCCCAAATAACACATTTAATGATAAGGTAAATATGGAAAATGTATGTTAAAAGTTAAAACAAATATATTTTTATATTTCTTGATAATAGTAATTATTCTCCATTATTTTACGATAGCACACGAAATGTTTTGTTGTATATTTGTTTCCTCACTACATTTATTGGCTATATTTTCTCTGGGATTTTGTCTGTAGGTACATTAAATCATCTTCATTTAGACCACCTTCGTGGATTGAAATATCTCTGAAATATAACTTAGCATAAGAGCATGTCCGAGAAATGTATGCACTATTGCATTATGCATTAAAATATTGCATACTTTAGAAACATTCCTATACGTCAATCAGATTCCGATTCAATTGGTAAAGACCGCATGATGTATTTTTCAGCAACAATATTATGTAAACAGTAAACTACACCAACCGACCCGCAATGTCAAAATTCAATCAAATTCGTAGATAAAAAAAAAACTTCAACTATTTTATCGGTGGCGCCTGTCTCGTACCTAAACTATACGTTTTGCGTTTCACACAACAATTATTATTATGCCGTAAAAATAGTTAGCAAACAAGGTTATAAATGAATTTCATTTAGCCAAGGAACACTTAAAGGGTGATTGATCTATTCTTTTTGAGATTGAATTTTAATTCAGTACATACAAATTATCCATTTCACGTGTCGAGTATTTGTTAATCATACAACAATTATAATATGTCATGTACTCACGTGGAACAATTAATATCTCAAAAAATCGAAATGATTAATGTTTTATATTTGAATTCAATAAAATATACTTTATTAATTTGTATTTAAAAAAATATATATTTTTACCTAATATAGGGATGTACCTAAATAATTGACTACAATATTAGGTACACATCAAAAAGGTTTTTCATTCAAAATATAATACCGAACAAATATAATATTATTGAGTAGTAACTTCCAAAAAAAAAATATGTTTCACTCAATGGTAATATATTACCGATAATGTTATGTATATTTTATTATAAATCCAAGGTTATTCAATTTGTCATTTTCCAGACAAAACCCTGATAACAGAAATAAAAATATTGGTAATATAATTATTCATCTATCAATAACTAATAAGTAATAACTATATTAGACATTAGTTATGGCCGATGATGACGATGATTTCATTAAATAAAAATAATATTTATCAACATCGTATGTACTTCGAGTATTGTATTGTATTTCTAGTGCAACCATAGTTTTACATATCAATGATATGGAATCACTTATCTATACGTCATTATACTATATAAATCAATAAAATGTTTACTGATACTAAAATATAAAATAATGAGCTCATTGCATAATAATTATATTATGCGTCTCATTTAGCTTTTACCAAACATTAATCTAAGTGAATAGATACAATAAATTAATATTCTGCCATTCATTAAAATAAGTATAACTTACACATAATATATTATTAAGTGTCTAATTTTATTTTTCCAACTAAAAAGTGTATTATGAATAAAATACTTAAATAATAATAATATAATATTCACTATAATCAATTTTATGTTAGTAAACATAATAATAGAAATAATTTAAAGTGGAATACAAAAATGTATTATATAAAACCGTTATTTTCTTAGATTGATGTTGTAAATAACAATAGGTTTTGCTATGAAAGTCAGAAAAATAAAGAATGAAACCGGCAAATTCTACAAAACAAAATTGTTAAAAATTATTATCACGAAAATTAACAGCACGTGGTGTCTCAGTGTAAGGATCAAGGTTAAAATCAAATAAGAGAACACACTGAGAACCGTTCTTGAATATTAGTCAGCTGTGGTCGCCATGGTGACGCTTACGCATACGATCGATTTTTCTCCCCTGGAAAAGCAACCAAAATCAACAATACTGTTCAGAGCAGCCCTCTGTAGTTTTTTTTACATTTCAAGGTCAGTATTCTGTAAAATCGCTAGTACGAATCCAACTACGGCGATATTAGCAGCTTATCTCAATACGACAATACTTACGTATTTTACAAAGTTAGGTATACGTTATAACTTAAAGCACTTAGGTAACTACAAAAACTATAAATATTTTAATTTATAACACTACGTGTCTGCATTACTGTGATATGACATAACTACATACGTACCTACCATATTGTTTTTACTATATGAAACATAATTATAATATTATACAATTACATGGTAAAGTTGCACACAATGTATCTAACTTAATAATAATTATAACAATACTTTTAGACTATTACAACAGTAATGCCTAATGGGTATTCTTCACTTATAAAATAAAAATTAAAAACTAGTGAAACAAATTGAACACTAATCGACATAACAATGTTAAAACAAATAATACCAACAACTTTGATGGATCCAAATTAAATAAATGCAAACATAGGAATCTGAATAACAAATACAATATGTG